ACCAACTGAAATCGGATTACCTTTATAGTCATCCGCTCAAATTAAGTTAATTTAGTAGTCACGTACTGAAAAAAGGCTAATTAAACAGTCACCTACTGAAATATGACTAATTAAACAGTCACCTACTGAAATAGGGTTAATTAAACAGTCACCTACTGAAATAGGGTTAATTTAGTAGTCACGTACTGAAAAGAGGCTAATTAAACAGTCTCCTGTTGAAATATTTGAAATATGACTAATTAAACAGTCACCTACTGAAATAGGGTTAATTAAACAGTCACCCACTGAAATAGGGCTAATTAAACAGTCACCCACTGAAATAGGGTTAATTAAACAGTCACCCACTGAAATAGGGCTAACTAAATAGTCACCTACTGAAATAGGGCTAATTATACAGTCACCTGCTCAAATAGGGCCAATTAAGCAGTAATCTACCGATATATGTCAATTCAACAGTCACCTACTGAAATAGGAATTAATTCTTGAGTCCCCTGGTAATATAGCATTAATTCATCAGTCAACTATTTAAAAAATTCAATTCAGCAGTCCCTCAAAGAAGTAGGGTTAGTTTTATCGCCATGTGTTGACAAAGAACAATTCATCATTCGCTCACTGAAGTAGGGTTAATTTATTCGCCAAGTGTTGACAAAGGACAATTCATCATTCGCTCACAGAAGTAGGGTTAATTCAACAGACAAATGTTGGCTGGGACAAGTGGCGGTGGAGGCCAGGGGGGGGGGAGTGACGGGTTCTGCGCACGGCACCGCGCCGGCAGTTCTGTGCGCACGGATGACAATAACGGAAACCAGGCGATTACTAATAAAAGTTAATAGGGATGAATGCTTAAAGTTCATTATAAAAGTAGTAGGGCTCAATGCTTAAAGTTATATCACTATGATACGTAATTAATGATGAATGCTTAAACTTTTATTAACATGCAATGTAATAAGTCCTGAATGAGTACATATGTAGCACTATACATTGTAATAAGTGCTGAATTATCAAAGGGTATATCACTATACAATGTAATAAATACTGAATGCGTAAAGTTATACCGCTATAACAAATAATAAGGCGCCAAATACATTTTAATATTAAATAATAATAATAATAATTACATTTTAATAATAGGGCGCAATGTGTGAAGTTATAACCAGTTGAGCTGTTCAAACTCACGCAGGAAACAGCCATCCTGCTGCGCTACTGCGTCACTGAATGATGGGTCCCATGCCTTCGATGAATAAATGAATGAGACGCAGTGAATAACATCAGCTCGATGCAGTTCAGGTACATCAGCTAACATGAGCTAAAGTTCAGCTCATCAGTCAAGTATAAATAAAAAATAAATGTAAACAATCATATAATAAATAATTGCTGAAATTCAGCTCAGATACTTCAGCTCATATGAGTTAAAATTCAGCTCATCGGTGAAGTAAATGAAAAAATCGTAATATAAATAACTGATACAATCTTCTATATACACCGTGAGTTATGAAGGTGATATGACCTCAAATCACGTAGAGTTGTGTGAGGCGCGGACTCTTATCTCTGGAGTGGAGGATGAAGTGAACAGAATATTATCTGATGACTCGAGCACGCGGGACTGATGGAACTGCGAGCGAAGTATCAATTAACATCGCCGAATAATTATTTACATAAGCAAAGAACATTTTTAGCTTAGATTTAATTTCTCAGATTAGCTTGAAATTACTGGTGATGATAATCGTGATAGCATTCACGCAAGGTACAGAATATTTGCAGCTGTATGTGAACGCAGCTGGTAACGTGTGCAAAATTTTCATTATCCATGTTTGCGTTTGAATCAAATTCAGAGAGAATTATTAAGTGGTGCATGTTTTACCAAAGCAAATGTTATTCATTGTGCTTGCATAAATTGGTTAATATTTTGGCACCCCTTGTGACATCTTCTACGATGTTAACAATTTGGATTTAGAATTTTTAATTTGAGGGATACATTTCATATTTTTTGGTTCATGGTTTTCAATTGAAATCATCTGACTGCGCAGGATGCTGATAACTCCTAACAATCCGTGCTCTACTAAATAAATCAGACTGCAGATTTTTCATCTTGTCTACTTGACTACTTTTTCATCTTGTCTTGTCCTCAATTCATGAGAATTGTCCTCAATTCATTCTTGTCCTCAATTCATGAGAGACTAAGCACATTTTTACGTTTATATGTTGCATTTATGAAGTTTCCAAATGCGAATATAAATGGTCAACAAAATAACTTTTTTTTTATCTTTCATCACGACAGAAAATGTATAATCACAACCTGAGAATTAACTTTAGATAAGAAAATTCTAGCAGGACAAGCTGTAATAAAACTTTCATTGAACTGTGTTTTGGAAGTTATTCGGAGTAACTGCACTATTTTTCCTATGTGCATCACTCTAATCATAATATTCAGACCAAGACAAGGTAAAGCGTCTGGAACAACAGGTTTAAAGCGCCTCTCTCTGTGATGCTTTCGCTTGGTAGTTGCTTTACGTTTAGACCTAACTTATTTGTTAGAAGCATTAAGAAGCCAAAACTTTGACGTATGTAGATTTATGAAATTCAATTTGCACAATATTAAGCCCGAATTAGTAGAAAAATCTAGGTTTTCATTTGGACATTTTTGAACTACTGGCCTTAGCTGTACCTGGTAGCCGCCTTAGCTGTACCTGGTAGCCGCCATAGCTGTACCTGGTGGCCGCCATAGCTGTACCTGGTGGCCGCCTTAGCTGTACCTGGTGGCCGCCTTAGCTGTACCTGGTGGCCGCCTTGGCCGCCATAGCTGTACCTGGTGGCCGCCATAGCTGTACCTGGTGGCCGCCATAGCTGTACCTGGTGGCCGCCATAGCTGCAAAGTTAAGCCTAAGATGGACGGACTCGTTGCCATGGACAGGACAGGCTCCTCGCAGCGGCTGCCGCACATCCCGCTGGCCGCGGTGCCGTGCGCAACAATTACGCATCGGGACCTAGGGTGCGTAATGCGTACGTCATCCACGCCGGCTGCGGTCAGAGGCTAAGATAAAATTGCTCTGCCCGCCGTGTAAAAACGTGTAAAAAATTAGTTTGGGAGGACCTATTGCTTACTAGAACTTGATGGATGTAGTACCTGTACCTAGACACAAAAGATGCTTTAAATTTTAGAAGCTATTTGTTAATTGATGAATGCATCAGTCTAGAAGATTTATGCAAAGGATCTATGATAATAACATTTTTGGCCCCGCAGTAAATAATGAGTTATTTATACTATTTATGCGTTGTCATATTTCCCATGAGTATATTTGCCTAATAGAAATCACCAGCGTCGAGCTACAATCCAGCAAACGCATGAAATTAAAAATTTTTAACAAAAATATTAGAATTCAATTAAATGTATTGAACAAAATAAATTCATGTGGTATTAAGAATATAATTATGAATTCGGTAGAATATATACATTAATCAGATGCAGAAGTGTTAAGAGATTCCCTTCGAATCTTGGTGCCCTTCGAATCTGAAAAAAAACGATTAGCTCGGTCATATTTATTGAAGTGCATTGATTCATTAGCTATAATAGGAAATTCTATTCAATTTTATGAATGAATAATAATAATAATTCAATCAAATTGATTCGTCAGCTACTACGGCATTCTGAACGATGAGATAGATTGTCAAACGAAAACAACATGAATAAGAAAACTATGAAATTGCACATGTACAGCGTGTGTTATGGAATTGGTTATTTGCTAGCCCTTACAAAGAAAAAAGAATTCCGTATACATATTCTGTTATTTGCAAGACAACAAGACGAGACGACATAACTCAGGGGCTGCCGCTCTCAATGAATCCGACCTTGCGTCGGTGATATGTACCCTACGACCTCCTTAGCCTGGGAGATCTACTTCAGCGTACTCAAGGACGGGAGATTTATGAAGAGAACTACGTACATGATGTTTATGAAGAGAACTACGTACATGATGTTTATGAAGAGAACTACGTACATGATGTTTATGAAGAGAACTACGCATGATGTTCATGAAGAGAACTACGTACATGATGTTTATGAAGAGAACTACGTACATGATGTTTATGCTGAGAACTACGTAGCTACATGTTGTTTATGAAGAGAACTACGTACATGATGTTTGTGAAGAGAACTACGTACATGATGTTTATGAATGGAACTCTTTATGTAATGCTACAGAAGACGACTTCTTACATGATGTTTTTGCAGAGAACTCATTGATGTTTCTCAAGATCACTTCTTACATAATGTTAATAAAAACGACTTACTACATTATGTTTCCTTTATGATGTTCGTTGCGATACGAAGCTGAACTTCACTCAATATAATTTTTTTTACGAATTGACGCCTTCCTGTATGATGAGTAGTCAAATGGAAGGACTAAATTAGGGTTTATCTGGTTTCACCAAGAATAGGTATAGAAGCTAAGAAATTGCCAAGTAAAACGCTGCTGGGACGCTCGTGACTATTGAGGGGTTGTGGACGTATACGTGAATGTTTGAGGTGACAAATTTTTGCTGTCAGCAGCAGCGGTCATAGTCGGTTTCATCACAGAATAAGACGTCTCGGACAATTTTACCGCCAGCTGTTAAAGTAATCGAAGAAATGTTTGAGGCAGACGGTAAATTATGTCAATAGTCAATACTGAGCACGATTGTGATTGTCCACTAACAATTATATTACCAATTTTTACGTAGTATTTCATTGCTTCATGTATTAAATTTTAACAGGGTGAATAATTGAGAACAAACTGACATTCCATGGTTCAGCAAGCAACAACAAAAATCTTATTAGAACATTACGACAGGTTTTTATCATTTATGTACAGCTCCTACAAAGGAACTTGATGAATAATTATTCACATTAATGTTTTTTGCAGGGTGCCATGATTTTGCATTCAAGTTGTTAGCATCCCAAGCAATTTACTTACTTATAAAATGTTTGTCCGATCCAACGGAAGCAGAAAGTTCATTTCGTTTGTTTACATCCGAACAAATGGTCCCGTAATATTGCCAAAGGTTTTGACGATAGTTTGTAATGCAATGATTATTACAGAAAGAAGAAGATGATAAGTTGTTAAAAGTGAATCAAAAAATGAAAGTTCAGATGCTCACTGATGTTTTCCAAAGTATAAATTTTCTATCCATGCCTTAAATTCTTGTTACCATGTTCCACAGAAGCTCTGAAATCTGAAAGGTAACATGAACGGGGATGATACTTCATCGTCAGACGACTCAGATTGCGGTCCTTTGTGGGATTCATCTGATGACTCAGATTCTGATCGAGAGCTTCCTGTACTCAAAAAACAGAAGATAGAACTTCACAAAAGTAAGTTCATATATTAATATCACTGACACTGAGCATTGGCCATTGAGCAATCTGCAATGTGTAGACTGCTGCCTGGGGGTGCCTGCTGGCACTGGCAGAGTGGCAGTGCTGGCCCTGCAGCCCCTGCTGGGCTGGGATGAGGATGAATCTATCAACTAGGTTACCATTTGGGCCATGACAAGAACTTTTCCATCATTTTTAGAACTGTAAAATTTCTGCTACATGAATTAGCTCCTATCTAATTGTTAACTAAAGTCTAAAGTGCACAATTAATTGAATTAGGCCTCAAGATTTGTTGGAGCTGCAAGATTTCAGAAACAAGTAGAAAAATAGAAATTCTAATTCCGTAATAGTAAATGGTTCGTTGACAAATGAACAGCCAGATGCTAGAACTGGTAAATATATAATACTGTCAAATGGGGTCAAAAGGGACGGGGATAGTAAATTGGGACGCACGTCCTACATTTCGTAGAAATGTTGTAGCAGCTAAACTAATCGAAATATTGCAAAACTAAAAATTGTGGCATAAACTTCAACATTTTTACTATCTATTATGTAAAAAGCTAGTCAAAAAATCAAACATTTACTATATCTAAAAAATAGCTGAAAAAAAGTGTGAAAAGTGTGATTTTAGAAAAGTACCTCTGCTAAGGTCTGGAGCAAAAAAAAAAATATTTGAGGATTAGAAAATTGTAATTGCATAAAAGTTAGCAAAGTTTCCACTTTGCAGTTAGCAAAGGTTCCACTTAACAAAAAAATTGATTAACAACAAAGAATTTTGATTACATTTACCTTGCTCAGTGAAAAAATTCACTTATCAAAAAATTAGTGCATCATTGGTAGTCACAAAATTGTACATAGAATGCTATGTATAGAATTGTGCACTGGGCATCATAGAATGAAAAGTACCATAATTGACCTAAACTATGATTTATTTCTTTAAAACATATAATGGTTGTCACTAAAACATTATTTTCTGTTTCAGGTATGTTTTTCATGATCTTTTTTTGTTATAGTGAAATCACTTGACTCAATTAAAATTGTGCAAAATTACAAACCATCCTGTAAGCTTACAGATACAGAAGAAATGCTACATGGCTGCTAATATGAAGCTTGCAGTAGACAAGGTCGTTGTCAATGCTCAATGGCATGTCCATGGGTACAGTAATATCACATTAATAATAATACGGTAATTGATGAATATGGTAATATAATATCAATAAAGGAAAAACAAGTAAAAATCACAGAAAATGTCATTTATTTTACATCTACATCATCTACAATGAAAGAGGAGGACTTCAAAGTACTGTTAGTAATGGATAAGTACACTCTGCATTGTTTCAAACATTTTAAAATTAACTTTTATTGCAAGTGTCCCGGATTACCCCATTCCCAGGGGTAAATTGGGATGGTTCTATTTTGCATCTGCCACCTTACAAATAGCATATGGAATTTTTTTGAAGATGCCATTGGATAGCCCTTGCAAAGAGCTATAAAATGAGCCTAAACTTGTTTCTGAAATGTTTCATGGTAAGAAGTTATTAACAAAAAACGCTCAAAACCATCCCTTTTAACCCCATTTGACAGTATTGAGTTGAAACTTGAAAGAAGTACCACACTATAATGTTAAACAGGAATTTCTAAAAATCTTGGGTAAAAAATTATTTTGCTGGCAGTTTTTAAACATTTCTGGTAAAAATATATTATTTTCCTGATATTTCAATGAAGAAATTATTTGAAAGCTTCATGAACTGGTTAAAAAATTGATTGGCATAAGCACAAGCATTTTTATTTTGATTATAGATGGCATATTTCAAATTTTCTACATAGATGATAGGTCCTTATATTTTTATAATTCTAAGTTTGTCACTGAACTAATAATATTGTAGAAATATAGGTTCATCAGGAATATTAATAATCATAAAATTGTATGTGACTTTGTTATTGTGTTAAATATTAGCATATATACTAAACAAATAGTCTCATCAAATACCAATGAAGTCACTCTAAGGTTAACATGCTAGACCCAAATTTTGTTATGAATAATGTCTCGATATTGAGATACTATGTTTATTAGGCATACTCTAAACTTAAAGATTATTGTGATGGTTTTCTGAATTAAATTATGTCTTTTCTTTCTTAAATACTCAGATGTTAGAGCCAGCAATGGAACTGGCCATGAAGATGCAGCTGACAATGACTTGCAGATGATCACAGTGACTGTTGGTATGTCTTCTTCAAATAATTCAACTTAAATCAATGTTATCTTTGAGTAACATTTTGATAATATTTTGGGTTAAAGGATTTTCATCTCAATAATAAAGATCTCTTTCATTGTTTGAGTTTGTGATTGATTGTCTATTTTATTTGAATGTTTAATGTGACTCCTGGATGCAGGAGTGATGGTTGCTCTCTACCTTGTTTTATTGTTGTGCAAATTGTCATGTGATGCCTGATTTATGGATATGTCAAAATAATTTGTTCATTTCTCATCTCATAGGGATCATTTAATTTGATACAGTTAGTATGATTTTTCTGCTGATTGAAAGTGTCTAAAATATTAGGTATATTTGCTAAGGTTAGGCTTACATGGTTAGTTGGGAATGAGAGAACACTCTTCTTTCAGATGAAAGCGGGACTTGCACTAAACTTTTTGACGAAGAACTTGACGAAGAAGAGCCTCATCAGACAGAGGAATATGAAGAAATAGACTCCAATGGCAGGTAAGGATTTGTTCAAATACAACCACTGAGATAAATTCATATGCACCCTTCATTTCCGTTAAAATTCTTGTACTGTGTAGAAATTCCTAAATTACTGCCCATTTCTTCTGTGTTTTCTATTTTGATGGTGTAAAGTTGTTGGTTTTCTATTGTCCTTTTTTGTCTATATTTTTATATAATTGATAGTTTTCAAATATGTCCGAGAGTAACTTGTGCATACAAATCCTCATGTGTTTACAAGCAGACCGAGTTAGCTATGAGTCCACGGTATCACAGTCACTGAGAGCTTGCCTCAAACACTGAGTTGACAGATACAGCATATGTACCGGTATGTGTCATGAGGACAAGAACCCAATGAATGGATGACCATTGGGTTAAGTACCACAAGGTGTTTTCAAGATTCCCAGTTGGGATTTCTTTCAAATTGCATTGGAGACATTGGAGCTGGACTTCTTTTTTCTTTTAAAAGTGCCATACTCTGGCTTTCTGTACTGTTAAGCAAAGGAACTGTATCCTTGTATACTAATCGAATACAATGCAATCTTCATTACTGAATACCTAAGGTATGAGATACGACTATGATGGGAGGTTCTGAACAAGATGTTTTCTTAATTTTGATTAAGAGCAAGGATGATCTTCCCTTTCTCTGAAGGGGGAGTTCATTTCCGAAAGTAACTTGTGCATGCAAATCCTCATGTGTTTACAAGCAGACTTAGTTAGCTATGAGTCCACGGTGTCACTGAGAGCTTGCCTTAGAGGCTGAGTCACCAGATTAATCAGAGACAAGAACTCTGTGAACGGAGGTACGATGTCTATAAAAGGGCTGGGAACCTTTGTAAGGCCCCCGCAGTAGTTGATGAGCGCTCCGCAATGTACCTAGCTCACGGTTGAGTTCTCCAACCTTTTGGTCGATGCCGTAGCTCATACCTCAGTAATAACTCTCGTGTATTACCACCCCTTATATCAAGATATGTTATCTAGACAGGTAAATCTTACTTATCCTTCACGACCTTAGTCAACAATCCTTTCTATACTCTGTAGGCGCATAAACGTGCATCTGTGACAAATATTACAATGATTACTTCATTGTTAACATTGAGTCCTACCTCAGAACAGCCTCGTTCTGTATACTAATTTCCATATGTGCTTTCAGGATCACTACCGGTACCTACTGTTCACTCCTATTGTTCCTTTCTACCTATTGTTCCTTTCGAACCATCTTGACAGCTGGCTTGCAGAAAGGACGTCCTCACGTTTTATTACTGCTTACAGAGACCCATACGAGGTGCGGCGCTTCAGCAGCCTCCGTGACGTCATCACCTTCATGGATCACTACCAGCAGGAGACGCTCACACACTTCACATCTTTCAGCAGACACGGTGCATTTGGCAATGAGAGTGAGTGCCTAAGGGAAAATTAGAGTTCAGCTTAGTAAACTTAGGACTATGGAAGTATGGAATTATGTGTGGAATGATATACACAGCAACTGGAAAAAACAAATGAATATAAATATACATGCAATAAGAGGCATACCTAGTAGTAATTTATATGCCATGTAAGGGAATTTAGTAATGTTGATTGACTTTAAACATGAGCAACAAAAATAGGATAGTGAATTAAGGAATACATTATAGATTTAAAATAGTCAAGGGCAAATGCCTAGGGCAAATGCAAGTGCAAATATTTCAAGTGCAAAAATGCTTTAAGAAAACAATTAAAGTAATTATTGCAAACACAAGCATCGCACTAAAAGTTAATCAAGCTGACATATGAAAAGAACCATTGTAACAATAAATGACAATAGAATGAATAACAACCAAAATCCATAAGACAATGAACCTAAAACATGTAAATTCGACACTTAATTGATAATTGAATCACGCACACAGAATAAGCCAACTGACCATCTGGTGACGGCGGTGACAGTTTCAGAATGTTCTGCTAACTCGAGACAAGTTTTTTTGCATGCATTACTTAGGTTTATGGGGTCATTCAATACCTGAAACAATACAAAGAAACATAGGGCGACATTAGAAACAAATGAATTACGGTACTTATTATGATTCGCATGAAATATGACAAATATTACCGTAGTAATAACCATGCTTGCAGTAAATGAAAACAATAAATGTATAAAATAGAAAATTGTGAGCTAAAACACATGAGCTTGGTCTGCCCTAAGATTACCCTCGGTAACAACGTGCCGAGTGCATTGCTGCAAGATAGCTGCAAATCAAGTTGTAATATTAAAGGGCATTGAATAAAGTGTCGAGATTTGGATCAATGTTTTAGCTCCTATGGCATGTGAAACTATGATCGGATATTATTAACTAACCAAGCATTTTTAATATAATTTCTCTCGGGAATTCTTTTTTTTCTCTTACCTTATTGTAGTGAAAAGTTTCTACCACTAACACATGATCTGAAATTGACCTCACTACCGTATCACAATCTTCATTTCACAAAAACATACCCAGTATACGGGTATGTTTTTGTATGCACTAGTGTTGCAAAACATTCCCAGTATACGTAGTACAGAAACATATTTTAGTTAACTTACTTATGGATATCTAAAAATATAACTCAGTACTCACTGCAGTGAGTGACAGAGAGCGCATTTTCTCGTCGACGAAAACGTGAAGTCACGGACGGACAGACAGACGGACATGGCGAGCACAATAGTGCATTTTTTTCATAAATGAGAAAATGCGCTAAAAAGGACTGACCTAAGTCTGATTTTATTCTGAGTGGTAATGAAACTTCCTTATAATCACCGCGACATTCGTCTCTGCAGACTAAAATCTATCTCATTTCATTTCATTCTATGATCACGTAAATATCTTTAATTCTCACTGGTAAACATGACCGTTGCAGAGCAGGTCCCAAATGTTCAGCGTGGCCGCATCTACTTCGAGTCGCTGAAGGGCAAGTGTGGGATGCCCATCACCTACGACGGCGTGCCCTTCATCCACATGGGTCGCTGGTCCTTCACGTGCCACCAGGGCGTCGACCGCAACCTCAAGCAGAAGGAACAGTACCAGAAAAAGCGGAAGGAGCGCTGTAAAAAGGTACTGTGAATCACTTTACTTTGGATATATTTTCCATCTAAAAAGTTGATCGAGGGAATACATTTACACATTTCATCTCATTTTATTTCGAACCCTTTCACTATCGCGGATTTTCCTGGACCCTTTTATTCAATAACTGGCGCCAAAGCTGCTGCCATGATTTATGTTAACTTTCTTGAATTGAATGAAGAAACAAAATGAATAATATTGTTAATAACTTATATTGATTAATTCATTAAGAAGTAAACGTTGATGACAGGAAGGCATCAAGCTAGAGACCAGGTCAAGAATCTCTAAGAAGGTGAACTGCCCCGCTGAGATCTACATATCGCATGTCGTGAAGTTTCCCCAGCACGCAGTAAGTCTCATCTGCATTGTTTTAGCTTGTGTTCTCTTTTGAAGTGCCGTGCCAAATCACCAATGGTTCATCATGTTCAACCCTTTAGCCTCCAGCTGTGCATTTTCCAGTTGTGTCCTCCAGCTGTGCATTTTGGCGAAAAAATCGCCAAGTTCTGTATGAAGTCGACTTGTCGACTTCATACAGAAATAAAAATTGACGTTTTTTATTTCTGTATGAAGCTCATTCGTCAGAATCAACAAATATATCGCCTGTAGAATTTTTTTTCCTATGGATAAATTTCAGCAATGTGGCATGGTTGCTATGTAGTGCTCTGCACTTTCAAAAGATTAGTTGCTAAAAGTTTAGTTCCAAAGAATTCTATGTTCACTATTCATGAAGCGTACGCAGCAAAGAATTCACGTTTTCCTATTCCCATGTGTACAATTTTGAGAAAAGAATTCATCTGGGAGTATTATAGTCTTGTATTGAACTACTTTACCAAATGTTTGCAGGTGCAGGGTGGATGCTCAGAAGACTCATCGTTGCCCTCAGATCAGGTGCGGCGAAACGTCAAGCGGAAGCTGAGCGAGCAATACAAGCAGAACAGCAGCGACATTATTTGCGAGCACTGGTACTACGTCAGGATACCCATGCCCTGGGCGCACAAGGGGCATCCAGTTCTCGCCACCGTCAGTACTGATCCATGCATTAGTGCTGCAGTTGTTAAGTTGTTTATTCCTATTATTAGTGCAGATCGTAGATTGTCCGTTGATTTATCTCTGCCTGTCTATATTGATTATAACTCAAATATTCCGTGATATTAATTTATTTGTTTCATCAGAATCTAAGCTTATGAAATTTCGTTCAAAATTACTGGATGCCTAGTGAGATTCTTGCGTCTCATTTCTAGGTCAAGCGATGGCAACCAACCTTTATTGTCATTCATTGTAGGAGCATAAGAAACGTAGAGGCAAGTTGTTAAGTTTTTGTTGTGATGAGTTGTGCAGGTCGACGACTCCTGGGATGCCGCGGTGCCAGTGGGCACAAAAGTGACGCTTAACACCGACGCTGTGGCGCGGCTGTACGATAAACGCAAGAGCGCTCTCCAGGTACCACTATCATTCCTATGTTTATATCTCTGCATCGTATTTCCTCTAGCTGATACTTCTTGCAGCATTATTGTTTGCTTTTTCTTTATTATTCCACGACAAAATTTGTGTTTGGCTATTGGCCAATGTTTGAGCGTAGTAAACCTGGGCCTGTACTAAGAGCCTGCACTCTAACCAGTGAAAGTGCTTAAACTTGAAAACATGTTTAAGACTCGAGGAAATACAAAGAAGTGATTTATGCATGCATAGAGTTGAGGAAGTAACGAGGTTATTATTACAGAATGTGGTGGTGCGCACCAAAGAGCCCGTGGACCCTCGGGTGCTGGAGAAGATCAGGTCGCTCTACAAGGAAGGCGTGCAGGATGAGAAGAGCATCAGGGAGGCTCTCAACACCTACGTTGACGAGGAACTCCTGGCGGGCAAGGCGAAACCTCCACCGATCTTTAGGCGCTACAACCCTACCAATAAGGACATCGCCAACGAGATAGTCAAGGTGCATGGCCGTAGAGATCTAGTCCATGCTGGTTCCTTAAGTAGTAGCTGGACGAAAATGTATACGGTACCGTAAAATAGAGTAACTTAGACTAATTTCTTTTTTTTAAATGATGCCATTTTTTTACTAGCTAATTAAAATTAAATTAATACATGCAAAATACAGGTCTATACTATAGGTTTACTCACCATAAATTGCTGGCTCCTGCCTCTCATTGTTTTTATGTAATTTAAAAAAAATGATGGTCTTTGTCACCCCAAGCTCGTTGGGTATTTTAGACTGTGTGGTAAAATCAATTATATTTTTTGGTAAAATAACTCCAAATAACTCCACGTTTTAGTGCATTGTAGTAGAACTCTTCTAGTTACATATGCAAATGACTTATTTGAGGAAAGTGTCATATTTTGCAAATGGGGTGCTCCGCCCCCGAATGGGGGAACTTAGACCACCTAATGTCAGCCATAAAAGGGTAATATTGGCCGGCTTGGAAATTAAGTTAAAATTATCATATATATGACTCTTTAGAGTCTGAAACATAAAGAAAAAACATTAATAGGTGTATCAAACATGAAATATGTTATATATGGTAATTTGAAATTAATTTCCAAGCCAGTCTATGTTACCCCGTCAGGGCTGACATTAGGAGATCTAAGTTCCCCCATTAGGGGGGGGGGCGGCGCCCCCCATTGGCAATCTATTACTTTCCTAAAATTTGTCATTTGCATATGTAACTAGAAGAGTTCTACTACAATGCATCAAAACCTGGAGTTATTTTCCCAAAAAAGAAAAAAATTTGGGGGGGTACTCCGACAGGCTTTAAATAATAGCTCTTTTAATTTACACATTTTTAATTTTTTACATTTTTTACACATTTCACATTTTTAATTTTTAACCCACATTCACATTTTTAATTTTTTAACCTATTAGATATGCAAACTTTTTAAATCTTTCTATTGTGTTACGTAGCCTCAGCATTAGGCCTTTAATGACCATTGACAGAATTTTTCTATGTCAAATAGTTTTTGAGTTTTGGGGTTTTTTGTTAAAAAAACGAAAAGTGGTCTAAGTTACCCTATTTTATGGTATCTTACATGATGAACTTTTACTGTAACCCTTCAGCATTTAGTGTACTCGTCCGATTTTTGATAATAAAAATACGATCATTTCATATTTCATAAATTTTCGATGCCTGTTTTTAGCAGATGTTCAATCACCTTTTCGGCATTAAAGGAATTTACAGTGAAAAAGATTCATGCGGATTTGTATCATTACTATTGTGCAAATAATTCAACTATTTGGATCGTTGAGCGCACAGGCAAAAGAGGAGCTGCGTGCTGACCGCGCTCGACACACGCGCGAGATGTGCACGTCGCTGGTGTCTGAGGTGGCTCAGCTGCTGCCTGCCGTCGAGGACGAGCAGGCGCTGCAGAGCGCGCACGAGCTCCTGTCGCAGCTCTACGAGCTCGTCAAGAGCGCCGTGCCTGAATGCATCAGGTGCGAGCTATTCTCGATTATTTCAATAAATATAGCTTAGTTTTTAAAATATTTTCAACATAGAAACATCGGCAAATCTCAAACTAACTTTTACTCACTGCTCATCTCTTTCAATGTTACACGCTCTCGCAACGTCAATACTCAATGCTTAAAAATATTTGAATATTGTTTAAGATAACATATGGTGTGAATAAATAACGCACAAATTTGTCATTAAAAGCTGTCTATTAATGACGTGTTTCGTGCAGTAATCCCGAGGAGCACGTTGTGACGGAGACTACAATAGGCGACAAAGATGCCTCGTGCAGTGGACTTATATTGTCGGATCCATCGACCACCATCGTCATCCCTCAGCCCCTGACCGTACAGCAGCAGCTGCAGCATGACAATCCTAACACTCGAGGGCAACATCTCACATTACAGCCTCGACTCGCCCCTGTCCAGCAACACCATCCCCATCAGCAGCAGCTAAGGATGCAGTTGGATAGCTCCAGCTCACCGCTGTCGCTCATGAGCGGCACAACTGTGTTGAGGGCCCAGGACGGGTCGCTGCACCCGGCAGGGCAACACACGATAACCTACGCTGACTACACCTCCGTCCAGCCCCTCTGCCCCACCGCGGCAGGCGTGGCCACCGTGCACAGCATCAGTCCCACCATCACCACCCTCCACGGATCACATCAACCTCAGCACACTTATGAGATCGCCACCATTCAGCCTAATGGTACATTGCAGTATACCGACCGTAAAATTACGCAGCTGCAGACTTGGTATCAGTAAAGGATTGTTCACGCGAGACGTTGGCTCAGTACCTACCAGATCTGCGTAAAACAAGTCAAATAATTAAATAATGAGTAACGGTGAAAGTAAAGTTCGATCAATAAGCATGGGCTCACTATCCAGCATGGGGCGTAGTCTTCAAATGGAAGAACAATTAGATGAGTATTTGACTTTAAAATTAATTTTTTTTATTTTCATAATCAATGTTTATTATCTTCATGCATCGCGCTTCTCCGCAACTATATATGTATCATAAATTAATCTTTGCTATGTGCATCATTAATGTGTACAAATTAATAAAGTCCTGGAATTTGAGATTCTTGTTGCTATTTATTACTCTCAATAAGTATGATAGATACATCCTATGAAGGACCCTATATTCAAATTCTAACTTTGCATGTTCATTTAATTGGTATTATATGTTCATGGCGTAATGCAGCTCGAAGATCGACTATCCTGAAGAGCGCCTCCAGGAAACTCATATAAATAATATATAAATTTCATATTTATGTGAAATTTCATATAATAACAAATAAATTTCACAAACTCACCCGCCAGTTTGTGAAATTTATGAACTCCATTTTTTTTTTCGTTTTATGTTACTTAAACATTGTTTTGTGTGCGTCTCTATATTTTTGATGAAAAAAAAAAGAATTTTTGAAGGCTCTAATAAAGTTGAATAATTTATTGTAAATAATTTATAGTATCCAAGTGGAGTTGAGTTTTTGCGAGTTATTTTATGAACATTGCTTGTAAAAGCTGGACAAAACTTTCTTTACAACCCACGCAAGTCAAGATCTGAAAAATGTGACTTCAATTTTTTTTACTGGCTTGAATGCGATGCCAAAGTTCTTGTGTTCTTATGCTCGCATTATTTCTGCTATATTATAGAAGTGGTCGTGAGACAAGCACCTTCAATAAAAAATGTTTGGTTTGTTTTATGTAAAGTATCTACAAACTTTGTTTCTAAAAACCTAAACAGAAATTTCTAAAGTGTTTCTAGAATGATGGGAGAAAATGTTCATAACAAGCGCTGACACTTGTGCACTAGGGTTGTTTGGTCTGCAAGGAGGCGAGAATGCGTGGTTTCTTTCAAACTTTGCAAACATTTTTGGTTGGTCTTTACACTAGTGCCATTAAGTATACACTTATATTGCATTTAAAATGCGATGTAAAATCAAAGTTCAAGGACTTCAAAGCATTTTGTTAGAAAATATCCGCTGAATAAGCGTTTATTTTGTATCCTAGCAGAGTTTCATGATTAAACTTTGAATTTGACCGCTTATTGATACATCGTCAGAATTTAGCCTAGCTAGTGTATTTTGTTTTCGTTGTGTTTGAACTTTAATCATCCCGATCCAGACTGAGAACATGTCACTGCCAATGGGACTTGATTTGGCATTGAATTTCGGCCCGTTTAGGTGCTTAGACTTTTAGACTTAAACGAATTGTTACTATACTAATGCACATCTTCATCTCAAGAAAACGCAGATAATTAGTTCAAGCTGTTTTTTTCCTCCCTACATCATCAGAAACTTTTTTCATCTTATATAAAATCCATTCTCGTATACGATTGGACGTCAGACGTGATTATTCTCAGAGAGGGAAAGATTGACGGTTTGGAAGTCTTGCCGTATCAGCTGCGGTTAAACAGAGATTCTGTGGGATAATAATTTCAGAAGGAGGCCAAAGGCTGCGAGGCAAATTGTTCTCATGGGAACACGAAATGAAGACTGGTGACCGATTCAGTTACCGTTTGAGTCAAATCTTGACCTTGTTAGCAAACGACATAAAATAGTTAAACTCTCAAAGTTTTAAACATTAAATTCCGACCAAAGCAGAATTTCGTAAGCCAGCAGTGAAGACAGGCATTTTCGTACATTCCATGAGTTACAACAACCGTCGTATAAGGGTGGAGTTTGCCCTTGACAGCGACAGCGTTCGTGATGCTGTCACTAGGAATTTTTCAACGTATGGAAAGCCTAGAGTGCTGCGTGAGAACGAACATGCATTTGTCAAATCGTAGTTATGGTTTTTCAGTCGCTACAACATAAGATGCGTTACATAAAAAATTCCACTTTTGACGTATGATTGGAGAGATATAAAAAATTCTACTGTTGAATAAAATTTATTGTATAACTCAATCTTTCGGAATTTAATAGTCGCAACCTAATTGCACCAACACACCGAGATGCCACTTCTAGCCCATCAAAGTCAGAGGTGAAATGAACGTTGGCTGGCCTTACTCAAACATAAGTTTTGCTCCTTGCCTATTTATAAACAAATCAACTTTTTAAGAAACGGCCGATCATAAATGCCGCACTAAAAGCAGAACAATTTTTCATTAGCTTATCTCAACACCTGAGTTGAAGGGATGCAGATTGCAGCGCCCGAGCAACAAGAAGCTTAATGTTAGCTTCCTCAGGGACAGCAGTCTTTCCGTATGCTAATATCGGGTCAAAGCGCTGTGTACGGTCGAGACCTCAAAGTCAAGGTTGGCGCGTGGATTTAGTGCGAGGAATGCTGTAGAAATAGTCTACCAGCGTCACTTCATTGCAAAACCAGGAAGAAAATTCATTTCGTTTAGGGTCGAAACAGCGGAGATTAAAATACAGTGGGGGGAAATAAATATTCGTACACTTGAAAAATCGTATTTTAATGTATGTAAGTAGACAAACTTAACAGGAAAAGTGATTTAAATTATGTATAGAGACGCATAGTATTCAAAAATACTATCAAAAGAAATTAAATCTCAATGCAACAAAAAACAATGCAACATGTTCACTTTTCGGGTGAAAAATGTATTCGTACAAAACAATAAATCCGCATTATTTTATTTTTGTTGCATTGAGATTTAATTTCTTTTGATAGTATTTTTGAATACTATGCGTCTCTATACATAATTTAAATCACTTTTCCTGTTAAGTTTGTGTACTTACATACATTAAAATACGATTTTTCATGTGTACGAATATTTATTTCCCCCCAATGTATATTGCAGGGCAGAAAGATTATAAATATAAAACACGAGTAAGCGAGTATTTCGGCGAAACCTCATTGCTGGTGTGACTATGATTGTGGAATTGCTACTAGTCAACCAAGGACACAATCGTCTATTGCTGAGAAAATCACGTCTCCACGTCATAATTCAATGCACTTTAATCAAATGCGATAGAAAAATTTGCTGTGATTGATGATCTGTCAAGAGCTCGGCAGATTTATAGCGTTTGAACAGAGAAACTCAATCGCGATGACAGACGCGCTGCTAGTGACTGATGGAGCTCGTTGCTTTTTCAGATTCGTATCTGGAGCTTTGATGTATATATGGTATTAAGAGGGTCAATGAATTCTTCTAACCTCCATCTATTGTGCACATTGTCTTCTTTGTAGATTCAAAGACCCATACTTTTATTTTCTCACTTCTCCGAAAGATTATAACGGAACCAAATTTGTTTAAAAATACGGAAAAACACATCTGTCTGATATTTGAACGAAGAAATTTGTGAAAAATTATTAATTAGACACCTCTGAATCAAACAGAACCTCAATACTTTCTGCCGAATTCTTATCCGAATGGACTTCAAATAACAATTGCACTTTCATCAGTATCGAGATTACGAGTTTGTCAATAAATTCTGGAAACTGAACGGTAACAGAAGTGATCGAGAGAATAAGATATGCTATATCAGTATGTGAAAAACTAGAATTTTCAAGGTTCAGCTCTAAATTATCTTCCTTATTCGGGGTCGTCGTTTTTCCTTATCCGAGCGCTCTTTTGAGGGGTTAACTGTGCACGTGCGATCGGATTAACACAAGTAGGGCTAAAGAAAGTTGGACGTGGATATGCAAGAATTTTTGGTCGGGAAGTGAGAACGCACACGGAAGATTCGAGGCCCGGCCGCCTAGTATCTGGCTGAAGGCCGACTTGTTTTTCTCAGGCGTGGTCCAGGAATTGGGAAACTGATTAATGAAGTTCAACTAACAAAAACTATAACGAAATGAAACAATTATTTATGAATGTACTTTATAATAAAATATCTTATACAATTAATAACAACGAAGAATAACCTTCAACAGCAACAACATGGTTGACTAGCATTTATCACAGACACGTTCTATTGAGTAATAAATTGCGACAGGTACAGCCTCCATCGGAGAGATCAAACGTTGCACAAGCGTCTTAATTGGCACGATTGGTCGAACAAGGAACCAATTTATTATGACTTTAGTGTAAAATTGGAAGGTACGAGCTTAAAATTAATAAACTTGTACTGAGATCCTGATACCGATTCCAATAGATAAAACCCTAATGAGAGAATAATTTAAAATTGTGTGATTTCGATACTAGTTACTCATTTTGTTGCTGTTGAACTTCGGCAATGGTTTGCAGAGCTCGAGGCGAGTATGGTGGCGGTAGGCTGGGAAGTTTAGCCAACGCCTGATGTATGGGCGTAAAGACAGCTCCTCTCATCAGTGCCTCGTAACTCGGCAACTCAACGGCCGCTGTTACTTCCTCGTTGTCTTCTATTGCGATGGCCACAGAGGACACGCTGCTTACAGACACCGTATCTGCAGCCTTCTCTTCACTGCCGCTGGTCGAGGGCTCGGAAATCTCAGTATTCGAGCTACTCTTGCCCTCCGACGCAGCAACTGAAGAAAGGTTGAGGAGCTTGCGTTTCAAGAACCAAGGTAAAGAAGAAGCCCCATGGAGCATCGAGCGTTTTAGCTGAGGCGTCTCGAGCACCACCGAGGTGTAGGTGGGGGGAGGCGTCTCGCACTTGACCAGGTCGTCGTATGAGGGAGGACAGTCCCCAGCAGGGGACGAGTCTGTAGCTCCTGGATTACGGGACGTGAGGTGATCACGGATCTGCACAAATACGAGGATAGACTGTGCGTCAATCGCTGGAAATAGAAGGAATAACACGGAAGATGATATGGAAAAGCGCATAAAATGAATTGATCAGAATATTAATTTAATTGAGGAAAATTTTTCCCCGAGACTGTTTCGCACAAACTAATTCGAACTAAAAGTACCTACTTCAGAATATCTCTCGTATATTATTAACGCGTAAAATTTTTAGATTAAAAGAACTTGGACAAACTTGTAAACTATTAAGATGCGTCACCGCAAGTGTGACCAACTTGCTTGCACTCGTATTGTTAAAGACATATGTTTTGTTAGGACTTTGATCTGAAGAAAATACATACTTTACTTCTTTCTTCACTCCAGATTTAAAACTTTATTTATCCGTATAATTTCCTTTAAGAGATTTGAAAGAGTCTGAGCTGAGTACTAAAATAAACATCTCTTAATTGAAGCGGTGGAGGTATTTAATGAAGTTCAAGAATCCCATAAAGCCTTGCACGAGTGCAGCGCTCGTTATTGCATCAAGACCGAAGAAAATGTAATTCCAATGCAGCCTGATCGCACCGCATCAATCCAGACAACAAGCTAAATATGGTGAACTTAAAACTGATACGGAATGTTCCACGTCAATCGCCATTCAATAAAGCAACAAACTACTCAGGCGATGGCAAGGTATCCGTACTTTAGATGATAAAATAATAATTTAGTGATATTATTTACTTGTAGTTTCAATTTAGGGTGATGACATTCAATAATCACGGTGCTTTAGGACGCCAGCCTAACAATTTTACGTAATTTTTCATCATGGCGTAAAAAATCTACCAAATACTAACGACCTTAAAACGAATGCTTCATATAATAGAAAATAATCTGAATGACGGTATAATATACGAGTAAAACATTGGATGTTTTATTAAAGAAAGCTATCACTTGCATCAGAATAAAACGAAAAACTTCTTGCTCAATTTTTTAATCTGGATTGAAATTCTTGAATGAGTTTCACGCTGTCATACTCTCATTAAATGCTGGCACATCACAGGAATATATACAATTAAGAGTACAATAACATTGAATTAAAAATCACGCGTACCGTCACGAGAACAAGTTGGGGACAATATAAATCATAGAAAATATTTGTAATAATGAACGAGCGTTTCATAGGACCACGACTAGCAAGGCCTCGAGACTCACACGACCAATGATCACACGGCACATTCACGACTCACATTCTCATGATCACACGGCATATTCACGACTCACACTCTCATGATCACACGGTATTTTCACGACCACTTGTGCAAGCACAAGTCTCAACCAATGCAGTGCTTTCTTCAACTACCAATAATAATACTATTGTCATAATGATTAATTATACTGACCTGCGCGGTGAGAGTGCGCGAACTGTGTCGCCGGCAGTACCAGTAGCAGAAATGTACGGCTGAGTACAGGAGTAGCCAGGCCACTAAGACAAGCTGCCACTCCTCTTTCAAGATCAGCACCGCGATGATGCCGATCCAGCCCGCAGTGACAAGCACTGCCAGCACCAGACACACGATCTTCCAGCGCAGAATATTAGCCTTCTGATGAGAAGAGGCTGTCTCGACGTCCGAGTCTTGACTTGGCTCGACTTCTAATTGTTCAGTCGCATCTGATCGTGAGAAGTACTCCATAATAGCGTTGTAGTAGGACACGGGGTAGATGAAGGATAGTTGAGAATGTGCTGGACGAATCTGCTTAGCTAGTCGCGCTCTTTATTGACTTGCATTAAAGGGCATTGACGTAGAGGCCATTCAACAGCTCAGAGAGATGCAAAGCGTTCAGAGCTCTCCGTAGGATTAGCAAGCTGGCCGTAGGCGGAACGAATCCGTACCTGTGAACAAAATAAATCCCGGATCAAGCCATGAACTGAACTGCAAGATTTGGAAAGTGAGCCGAGCTCATTTGTTGTAATATCACCTGCGACACTAACACTGAGAACTGATGAGAGAATGGGTAAAGGGAGACGTTGGCGTAGCTCCCTTCTTTTAGAAATCCGGCTCTGGAAATTTACATTATACCGAAAACATGATGCGATAGCATTTGATTACAAAGATTAAATTATGACGTTACAAAGTCACATACTATGAAGCGCTGTTAATGTTAATAGAGAGACGCGTATAATAGGAAACGATTTAGTATATATCGTAGCACACTTAAGACCAGCTCTAAAAAAAATTCAAACGTGAAGTTATAGCGTCAATTAATTTCTACATCATAGGAATTCCGGCATAATTTTGAAAAAAAAACAATACATGTTGACAAAAAACACACGGAATTATTGTATAGGATTGCCAATATATTTTCCGACATCCACGTCGAGCCTTTTGAACCTCAAAATACTTTTCCGTTTCTCCCGCTTTCGCCAGAAGTTGATCAGTGTCGGTCCAAAGAACGGATAAGTCGTAAACAGGCTGGGTCTGAAAATATCGAAGGAGAAGTTTCGTGATCTAAAAGTTGGAACCACCAAACTTTGGGGACATCTTGCTCGAGAAACAATAATACCGCCGTAATTCCGTTTCATGTACAATATTTGTTGAGCATGCACTGGAATAAAGAACTCGCTTCAAGCTAATTCAGTTTTATAAATAGCTATATAATAACAAACTAAAAGAGTTAAAAGAGAATTTTATATATTGAATAATGTAATCGACTCATCACTTAATGAACTATTAAGTTGTGGTTTCCAGATTGTGGGTTGCATCCATTTCCAACAAAGACGGACATAAAAATAATTAAATAACTGATCAATAAGCGATAATACACACAATAACATTTGTGACCAGAAACTTCACGTTAGATCATTAAAGCTTAATTGCATTACCCAGAAAGTTTACAGTCGAGCTTTGCTCACCTGCAAGTATGTGCCCAATCTGCACTCCTTTCAATCAAATCGTTTAATTTAGAAGTAGAGTTCAATAAAATATCCATAGAAATGCAGGGGTTAGCTAACAATTGGCTATCCCGGTGCAGGTCTCGAAAGAATTGCTGTTAAATAGCAAGCAAATGTCAAGGCCGCTATCCCGGGGAAAAGCAGGGCGTTTCCGTGTCCTGGAAGTCCTGGAAGGCGCTTTGTGTTCCAGATCCTGGCAAGACTCGAGTCTAAGCCGAGTTGCCATCCGACACAAATACGCACAAGCTGTCGAGATCGAGGGCTGGATTTTCTATGAAAAATTCCAGCTATCGGCAGTTTTATGAATAATTTACAAGTCAGATTGGTGGTGTATATACGCGCCGAAAGGAGATGATTGTATGGGAAGTTACTTTATCACGGAATAAGTTGAGCGCTCAACTGTTATGTAAATTTAATTTGAAATTAAAAACATCGGTTCGGTAATATGATGAATTTATTTACATGTAAAAAAAAAACATAGGTCGCTGGCGCTGAGATTACCGGCGGCTCGAGCGCAAACTTCTCAAATTTATTCTAAAGGGCGGCCTTCGTGCAGAAAGAGAAAATAAATTCAAAGTAGCGGCCTACGTAAGGACTACTATAATAAAATTAAAGGAACTGTCTTAATGCAAAATTCTAATATTAAGTACAAGGAATTAAGTACGTGAGAATTATCGAAATGATTCTAAGAGCAGACGACGAACACGCAGCGGAGGTGAATTTAGAGTTAAGGACTACCGGTTGTGGATGGATAACAACCATATTGTTGCTGTTTCTCCTCAGCAATATACGAATGCAACTAGGAAATACGATGCGAAATTCCCAGTACAGCTGGATTTTTTCGCTTCATTATATCAATATACATATAAAAATGTGCAGCAAGAAAATAAATGCTCATCTATTCATCATAGAAGACTGAAAATGACCAAATATGTATGGGGAATTGTTGTCAAAACTTCTTTAATTTGTTAGCAGAAACATCATATATACACTCGATGCGAGCTTTGCTTGGGCCCCAAGCCACTTGCAACAGTATCTAGTCTAGCAAAAAATTTCTCTGCACATATTCAATGTCGGTGAGCGCTAGTATTAATAATATAACAAGATCATTCGTTAATGTCGTCTGTATCGCCAGCAGATATTTTAATAAATACTCTGCACCTCCGTTATCCTCACAATTAATAGGCATGAGTATAAGATTTTCAGGCAACGAGTCCAGTAAAAATTAAGAATGCGAAGATGCAGCAATTGGTTTTCCTAGTGCATGAGTACGTAGCTTACAGCGCGCATTGAGCGCAAGTCCTTGCGTTGCGGTGCCTGAAACCTTCAGCCGACATCTATATTACAGGCCTGAGGTGTTGCAACGTTCAGTGCGTCTTAAAACAAATCATCATTTCAACACGATATCGCCTCGGGATATCTGGCCAAATTCTCTCACAGGAAGTGCTCTAGATTCAGGCTCTCTCAATGTGTAGCTGACTAAAAGGGCACAGAATAATTTACTCTGGATCGTCGTTGCGATTAATAGGAACACAAGTCATTTGAGCATCCATCTACATACGCAAAACTTGGATGTATCACATCAATGTAACTTCCGAGAGGATTACTAGACTTTTTGGTCTGGCTTAAATGATATATAATCCCTGTTTCGGATGTAAATTTTTCCCCGTTGAAAGTTTAGATGATCCAATTTGGGTTTAGGTCAAGCTAATGTTGGATTATCCGCCTTAAGAGTTCCTCTGAAACATGTGGGTGTAGATAGAATCAATAGCGTCTGACCCGCGAGGCTTGTTCTTGCAGGAATTTAAAGGACGCAAACGTGGCCCATGGAAGGGACTTCCCCTTGCGACCTTCACAAGAACTTCTTCGGTAATTATGGATATTCCACTGGGCGTCCGACGTCCTAGGGCAAAACCAATGAACTGACTTTTGAGCGAGACATTTTTAATCCAGCTGATGCGAACTTCGTGGAAAAAGTGCTTCTAACACACAACCGACGACTTCTTGTTCTGAATAAAGTATATGTAAGAGAAGAAAATAAACAATATTATAACGATGATACGTTCGCTTCAAAACAAATTACACTCCATAGATGTTTGCACGTAAAACGCATCGTCAGTGTAACATCGTGACGCAAAATATTCTAAACTCAGAAGAAATTCACAGAATTATTTTCAAGGCCGGCCTGTCGGCTGTTGACGAAGAGAATCGTTGTTCATGGCCCGAAATAAATAAAAAGTGTCATGTAGTTCATGCTGTAGCATTCCGAACAAAGGCATTGAGGTAAACCAATATATTAGTTATATAATGCAATGATAGTCAAATCCCTCCCCAGAGTACAGCATATTCACCAGTGAGAGTTCAGCTGCCATAGAAAATGGCTCAACTACATGAAAGCTGGTAAGACCACGTCTTATTAACGAAATTATATGGCGGAATGAATTGGAATTATTCAACTATCCTGCCTCCATATCAACATAGAGCAGTAACAATAGGAATAAAAATGTATTCAGTATTGATAAGTTCCTAGTTAGTTACGTGATTACGTGTCCGGAATGCTGTCGATCAAGACAATCAAGGTCCAGGAAAAGCATTAAGGATCGTCAGACTTAACCGCCCCTAATAATTTCTACTAACTTCGAGATTGTTCTACGCTTTATCGAAAAGTTATTAATTTAGCTGCGAATAAAGTTAAATTATCAGCGAAAAAAAGTCCCTGAAAATTGAACGATAATTCAATGAAGCCTTCTTAGGAAGCAAGATGCTCGGGCAATCAAACTACGCATGTGCAATTTTGCATTGTTGGCGGATAGCTAGGCGACATCTCCTGCGACCTTGTGCCATTGCTAAGCTAACGGTGCGACGTTTGCGCAACCTGCGAGCACTGAAACTTGTCCTTGTGCGCGATATTTTGTGCGTTCGTACATCATTTTATCGTTTAATCGTAGCTGCACAACATTTAGTGCGAGTGTTTATGCATCTTATGATCGCTTGATAGTCGTTGTTGCGCGATATGTTGCGATTGCTTGCACACCTTTTGATAGCCTCTTCGCCGTTATCTTAAATGTTTCAGTTCAGCAAATTTTTACGTAATTATTTACCTTTGTTCGATACTAAATGGAAATCATCGCTATATTTACTGCTCATGTTAGTGAGAGCCTTCGAAAAGAGGTTTAAATCTGCCATAGTTGATTACTGACACGTTGAAAAATAGGCCATAGAAAAATTGCATTTTTTGGCAACACCCGGTGCAAACTTGAAACTTATTCAGTCTTCTTGGCAGAAAGATTTTTTTTGCGTTGAAAACTTCTTGGGAGCATTTATGAAAAAATAAATTTTTTGCTCATCTCCACCGCTGTTAACAGAAGAGTTCTACGAAAGGAAGCTTGCATAGCCGTTCTTATACCGTCATTTCCGCAGTATTTCCTTACGCTGCGGTCAAAGGTGGCTTCCATCGACCTGCTCTCGCGTCAAGCTACGTGCGGCAAGGTCACATGCGTGAGCGCTGCAGCAGGAGTGTGGTGCTAGGAAAGCCTGCCACATGCGTGAGCGCTGCAGCAGGAGTGTGGTGCTAGGAAAGCCTGCCACATGCGTGAGCACTGCAGCAGGAGTGTGGTGTCTGGAAAGCCTTGCGCGGCTCTTGAGCAATTTTCCTCGAAATAAAGTAGCTGCGAAACGAGCCTCCGTCGCTGGAAGCGATCTGACTTTTGAGTGTTGCGCTTGCTGCCGGAATGTCCTCACGAATTCCAATAAGGAGTCGTCCAAGTCGAATTACTTGCGTGTTCAACAGATTTCCTTAAATTGCGTTTTTGAACCATCTTATTATCAAGCAATTGATTAGCAAGTGCGTAGCAAGCGATAAGAGGTTTTCCTGGCGTTGCTAGGATAGATAATTTCTGCGATTTAAAAACTCCGTCATCCCGTGCATGTAACGTGATCGA